ATCATTAAAACCAGATAAATACCTACATTTGTTTAATCTTTTCACCCCTGAAACAAAAGGGGGGAGATTACATATTTCATGACTTTACAAATAAAGTCATCTGATGAAGTCCCGCTTCTTTAGTTACTCAACATCATTTGTCTCCTTCCACCTGAACACACGACGTGAGAGTGGGACTCGCCCTTTATATTTTCTGTTGTCTTGACTCTCCAGCATCTAGATAAGTGCTGTCATGTGACAGATGCTCCAGAAAGTAACTGAGTCATGGATGACATGGAAAGATTACTAGTCTGGGTGTCAGGAGATACGCCTTCTAGCCTCACACTACTACTTGTTACTGCCTGGCATTGGGCCATTCACATCACCTTTCTGAGGCTGGGTTCCTCCATCCTTAAAATGATATAACTTGGAGCAAACAAACACTGCAGTTCTCTAACATCCCATGACATGCTCTGTTGGTCACGCTGTCCGAGTCACTTGTGTTGAACAGTCTCTGAGAAAGTAGAAAATGGCAACCACTTCTAGGCTAGAAGCCCTGAACCCTTGACAAGGCCTTCCAGGTTCTCAATAATCAAATAGAACACACATAAATCAATCTAAAAATGGCCACAAAGATTTGGAAAAGGCCTCAGAAATCCTTTGACTCAGTTCTTCTTCTCACCTCAATGAAGGAATGGTTTCTACAAAAGCCTTAAGATGAGTCCTTCACTTGAATATCTTGTGGGACTAAACAATCGCTATCTGGGAACATTCTCTTCAGGGATCGAAAGTTTATTTGGATATCAAGGCAGACATGGTGACCCTGTAACTTCAACTTCTTAGCCCTAGTTCTTTCCTCTAGGGAAATAAGAAAGAAATCTCTTCCCCTTTCTGCATCACCCCATTGATACTTGATATTTCTCCTGTCTTCCTCTAATTTCTCCTCCAGTTATTAAGAGGAATACTATTAATAAGAGCAGAGGGTAATTGGTGAGCCTAGGATTATGATTCAGGAAGCTAGTATCCCAGCTCTAGATCTGCCATTAGCTCATTGTGTGGTCCTGAATAAGTTCCGAATGGGCTGGTATGGTACTTTTTTCTTAAAATGGGATGATGGAGGAAGGGATGGCAGGGGGCAAATGTGTATCAGAGCTTGGGAAGTTGTAAATGTGGTTGTAAGAGTGGGGCAGGGCATAGATGTGACTATTCTGACCCTCACTCTCTCACTGTTGGAGCAAGAGCATTCAGGGGTTAATGTCCACTGAATTCTTTCCAAGCCCAGCTGCCAACAGGATGCAATAGCTCTTAATATCCAGGATAGTGGTGCATCCTTTAAAAAATTTCTTCTAAAAATGGCAGAATACTTCCAGGGCTCTGGGTCCTGGGAGAGCAAGAAATCTTGAGGCAAGTGACTTCTGCTTGTGTTTTTCAAGGTGCAGCATATAAACAGTCCTGTCCTAAAGAATTCATCCCCAATGTCACAATCATGAAAATACGACTGGGAAAGGACTTGGGAAAATACCTTGCCAGAGAAACTTGGCAACAAACATGCCTTGTGCAGTGAGCTAGTTGAACTTTTACAGTCCAGAGGGGTTACTGACGATCACAGGGGTGGCGTTTCCTCTGGGGTGGCGTAGCTTTGATTGAAGTGGAGCCCAGGGCTCAGGCATGCCCTGTTACTGAACTGAACCAGACACTTTTCAGGATGTGAAAGTGGACCTTTTCATGTCCTGCTGTACCTTAGCCACACAATTTAGGAAGTTTAGTAGCTTAAGCAATTTTGTTCTGCCAGATAGATCTAAACCAGGGTCAAAATGCCAGTGACCTCATGCATTTTGATTATGGTTCCTGTACTGGCTGAGAAACACGGGCTTTTCAAAATATCTGAGTTATCCTTAAAGTTCTAATAGTGTCATTGGTGTTGATGAATCATCTTCTCTAGACCAGGAAATAATAAAAACCTTTTTCTATATGTGGGTTAGCTAGTGGACTTTACCATAGAAAGTATCTTTGTTTTCTCCCCTTTTATTTATGGAGAACTGTCCTTGAATAGCTATTTTAAAAACCACTTAGAGTAAGCACAAGTCATTTTGTTAATGATTATCCTTCATCAAACGGCACCCATTTTCATAATGAGAAAATACCCACATGCCTAAAGCTAGCAAATTAATTAGCTAATACAACCAAAATAAATTAAAAGATCTACAGACAATGGAGGCACTAAGCAGTTAGAATGAACACATCTAAAGAGAAAATAATTTATCTTTGTATCCCCAGGGCAAGTAGGTACTCAGTAAATGTTTGTGGAACTGATTTGAGTTCAGCCTTCTCAGAGACTTAGAACCAGTAAAACGTTTTCTCCCTAAATTAACTATTTTCCAAAGTGTGTAAACATGTTCCTTTTCCCCTTCTAAATCTTTGAATGCACCCTGTTTACTCATAATAATGCCAAGGAAACAGAAGTTCTGACTTGAGCCCCACTAGCAATGTTTGGCCTACTTAAACAGTAAAAGGAAAATCAAAGAGGATTTAACAAATTCAGCATTAACAAAGAAGTTAACATTTCATTTCAGCAATGAAAACTCAAGCAAAATACAATTTTTAATAATCAAGAGTAAAAGAAATATGTGGTGGGGATTTTTCCAAAGCCTCAAGTCTTTAGGAGAGTAGGAAATTCCTATTTTTCGGATAAACTTCCAAATTCAAAAGATTCCCTGTGGAACAGAGGGCAGGTTTGAAGGCCCTTGGTAAGGGGTTCTTTTCAGAGGAGGGGAAAGTGAGCAGGCCACTCTGGGCACCTCTGTGAAAATCCTTTTCCACATCCCAGGTTGCTTGGTGCTCACATGCAGATGCAGACAGAGCATTTTATTTCCTTAACAGGATGTTAGTTGTGATCTGGAGCCAGGCTGGAGTCATTGATTAAAAACATTCCTGAATTGCAAATAGCTATTGTTCTAGGAGTTGGTGGAGGGAACATTCTGTTATCAAGCTGGTTTTGTAGTTACTGAGAAACCTTTCCTTTCTGCTTTAAGTAAAGGGTAATTCCTCTGACTGAGATGCCCTTTCCCCAGGCTATCTGCTGCCCGCCCACCTCCTTTCAGGACTCAAGCTTCACTTCCCTTGTGAAGACACTTCTGAACCAGGTGGAAGGGACCACGCCCCACTCTTTGCTCCTGCTGAGCCCTTTGCTGACTGTTTATAGAGAAACTGAGGGCTTCAGAGCCTTAACCTCCCAACTAAGAAATTAGAAATTAATTTTTATTTACTTAGAGCTCAACAAGTGTTGATCAAGTACTGCTACACCAGTCATCGTGTTCAGGAACCCCGTCATACACGTCTCTGCCTCTGCGGTAACAAGAGTAAGAGTGAAGTGAAGTGAAAGTTGCTCAGTTGTTTCTGACTCTTTGTGACCCCATGGAATAGTCCATGGAATTCTCCAGGCCAGAACAGTGGAGTGGGTAGCCGTTCCCTTCTCCAAGGGATATTACCAATCCACGGTTCAAACCCAGATCTCCTGCATTGCAGGCGGATTCTTGATCAGCTTAGCCACCAGGGAAGCCCAAGTTAAGAGTGATGTCATTGCCAAGTTTGCTTTCAGACCCATCTGTGAGGTCTCTCACAATAGGGAATAACTATAACAAAGGCCAAGGTGTTGGAGACCACTCCCCAAGTCACACTGACACACTCATGGACTTCACAGAATGCTCAAAGCTAACCTGTTTGATCTCCATGAGCTCATTTGATCCTGGGAAACAAGTCGGTGGATTCCTCCTTTACAGGCAAATCAACAGAGGCTAAGAGAACAAGAATGTCCCTCCAACCTTTGACATATGAGTGCAGGAAAATCATACAGATTTGAGGATCACAGAGGATATGAACTCATAGAAGCATAGGAAGGACCTTCTCAGTGTTCTGCCTCTTCTTCAGGAAAGACGCCTTGGCTGGGCTGATGAGCCAATTCCACATTTAAATCCCTTTGAATATTTTCAAAGTACCCATATAACACTCTGCATATAAAGTGAGTCAAACCTCAAAGCAGATCTCAGTTAACATCTCCAGATTTGGTGATTGGCATTTTCCCTCCAGGGACTAAGTCCATGGGATCAGTCAACTTTGTTATATGGTTGGTCTGTTTGCTAGAACTCTTGTCTTCAAGTTTCTTGACTGGCCTAATCAGCTGGTTGTCTTACATAGCGAGGAGAGCTCCAGAAATCTCATGTTTAACAGTATCCGGTGATACTTGTTAGGAGTTGGAATTAGACCTTGAAATATGTTGAGTGGTATTTGACCAGCAGCCAGGAATTCATCTACATTTGGGTAGAATCTGCCTCGTTCTTCAGAGCATGTTTTGGTTCAGCACACACATAAAGGTGCTCAAGAGCACTGTGCTGAAGAGGTGCTGTTGTGTTTTTAATATGCGTGTGGAACTCGCAGTTGCTTGTTTTGATGCATGTGTACATAATAAAGAGAAAGGTAGTTTTTCTCACTTGGCATAGATGGCTTGAAAGTTAATTCCTTTTCTTGAGGCACATTTATAAGAAATATCAGTTCTTTTTTCTTTTTTTTTCCTGTAAGGCATTAAAGTATGTTTGGGGGAACTGATGGAGGATTTTGCCTCAGAAGTGTTTGGACTGTTTCTGGGGCTTTGGATTTTGTTTTTAAGTTTCCTGAACTGAAGCAAATGCTGCATAATAAAATTGAACAGTACCTGCGCCCTCTTGACAAATGCCATAGGAGCCAGGCACGGAAATGTTCCATTCATTTGGTGATCAGTGTTTTAATGTTTAGAAGCTCACCGCTCTTCCAAGCAGCTGTGATAATAGGTCTGCTCTCTTCTGCCTTTTTCTGATTAGTATTCTCATCAGTCAGGTACATAAAGCATGAATTTTTGCCCCTAAATTTCTTAACTTAACTGCTGTCTCTATCAATGCTCCAACAAAGCCTCCTGGTTATAATTATGAGTGAGGAAAATTAGGACCTAATAAGCCGAGGACCTCCATGCAATGACATCTGCCTTACCACTATAGCAGGAAGGCTCCGAAGAAGGTTTTATCTTCTTTTGTGTAATCCACCAAAGAGATATCGCTGACATTCACCATCAGCTTGTCCCCTTCATTCAAGGAGAACATGGCCCCTAGGTAGATGGGTTGGAACCAGTTGCTGCCTATTTCACACACTGACTTGGTCCCCATTAGGAGCTGAGTTGGTTCGGGGTAGCTGTCTGTTACCTTGGTGATGACCACAATGATGGAGTCTGGCTTGTTTGGTCTCCTCCCTTGGCTGATTTCACCACACTCGGATGTGGTCCCTCGGAATGTCACCTGGGAATAAACAAAGTAGTCTCCCGACTCTGGGATCACCAGGAATTTGTTGGTGTAATTCATCCGGTTCTTGGTGAAGGCCAAGCCAAGTTCATGTTCCCAGTGCAGAGCTGGGAACTGATTTTTCAAGGGCTGCATGGGAGTCTGTCTCACAACTGCAAAGACAAGAGGATGGTTTCATTGCTTGTGTCAGGACCTAAGAAATTTGCTAAAAAGAATCTAACATCATTTTCAAAGAGTAAAGAGATAGGATAAAACCAAGAGCCAACAGTCTCCTTGAGAAGGAATGAGTAGAGGATGTGTTAATGGACGTACACATCTGTTCAGAGAGTAGCATCTTAGGCAGGTGACCTCAAGCAAATCACTTTGCCTCTCTGGACTTGAGTTTTCCTGTTAGATAATTTTGAATTTTTTCTGAGCCCTCTGATCTTGGAAACCAATGAAGATTAAAAAAAATCTCCTACCCTCCTTGTTCCAGGCACCTGAAATTCTGTCCACCCTCAACCTGATCCTCAATGTGAGCCAGCCTCCTGAAAATATGCTGGCCACAGGATAAAGCATTCACTGAGCTAATCAAGTCAACCTTCCGTCTCACTTCTCCATACACGGTTCTTTTTAGCTGTGTGTACTCCCCTCTATAAAAGGAAAACCCTTCAGCCTAACTCTTGAGACACTTGCAGACTTTATGGTCAGAGGTCCTTCCATTTGCAATAGTCTCTTCCCTCCTCTACCTCCCCACTTTGCAATAATCCTTTTGCATAAAGTATTTATTAAAGAGGATTTGTTTTTTGATGTACTTTTCCTTAAAAACAACAAAAGAACAACAACATTTAAAAAAAAAAAAGGAAAAGGAGATAATACCAATGGAAAGGATTAAGAGATGATGTGTGAGGAACATCCTCTAAATTACATGTACTTTTACTAGACTTTTGGTTTTGGAAATGCTCTGCTACTGAGAGAGATGTCAGAGAGAGACATGTTCCTTATCACTCCCTTCCAATGCCTATTCCAAAGCCACATGAAACACAGGAAGTAATTAATAAACAATTAGCATGCAGAACACCAGAGATCCAAAAGATTTTTCAAATGCTTCTCCCACATCAAAAGGGCCAAAATGTAAGCCAAAATACCACAGACTTGAGGAGTGAAAGAGACCAGGACTCTGGACCACCCAGGCCCTGTTCTAATCCTGACTCTATAACATGGAGGGTCTTCTCTCTGAAACTTAGTCTCCTGTCTGTGAACTGAAGACAAAGCTCTCTCATAGTCTTGTTCTAAAGAGCAGATGAATGGAAGAGACGTGGACATTTTTATCATGATGGCGGGATACAGTGTTACTTCTATATATATTTATTCTCTTTCCCCAAATAAGCTAACATCTTTCATTTTGACAGATTAAAAAATAAACCTTTTTCATTTTATATGTACTTTATATGTTTTTATGTTTACATTATTTATTTTTATTTTTTTTTTCTTTGTATGAAAAGTTTTAATGAATTGTGAGCCATTGACCATTACAGACTTTAAACCTTAATATTTCTTCTTTCTTGTGTGAAACCAGATAATTAAACCAGTCTATCTCAAGTAGGACAGAAGACCATAGTATGAATTTAAAATGGTGGTTCAGACAGTAAAGTATCTGCCTGCAATTCAGAAGACCTGGGTTTGATCCCTGGGTCGGGAGGATATCCTGGAGAAGGGAATGGCTACCCACTCCACCCAGCATTCTTGCCTGGAGAATTCTATGGACAAAGGAGCCTGGTGGGCTACAATCCATGGACTTGCAAGGACTTGGACACAACTGAGCAACTAACATTTTCATTTTCACATACATTACATAGAACATATGAATGAGTGCTTTTTTGAGGTTTTGTCTATAGCAGAAAAAAAATGAATAGAATCAAACCATTGATTCAAACCGTTGATTTCAAATAAGATAACCTGCAATAAAACTGGTACTTTTCAGAAAAAATAAAAACACATTTTAATACCCTGCTGCTGCTGCTGCTGCTAAGTCGCTTCAGTCGTGTCTGACTCTGTGCGACCCCATAGACGGCAGCCCACCAGGGTTCCCCGTCCCTGGGGTTCTCCAGGCAAGAACGCTGGAGTGGGTTGCCATTTTAATACCCTACAACTGCTTTTGAAATCCGTAGCAATAACCGTTATGTACTGTTGGCCACGGTTTGGGGATAGATTATATTTAAAGAAGTGTTCAGCAAACTTCTCACCTGGTAAGTGACCAAAACCTGGTTCCTGGCTTTTCTAAAGTGTCTTTCCCATTGCTGATGAGACTGTGACTCCTTTTGCGATTCTGACACACGTTTAGAGTGTGCGTGGGCTTTCCTGGCCCCGGCACTGAGTGGTCCCTGGAGAGCTCTGCTGTTTCTCTGCAAACCCTGTAGGAGCCACTGTTACCAGTCACCCCTGAGAGCCTCCACTCCTTCTTTGTGGGTGAGGCAATAGATTTTAAAAAGTCATCTCCTGGAACATCCCTGGCAGTCCAGTGGTCAAGACACCACGTTTCTGCTTCAGGGGACATGGGTTCCATTCCTGGTCAGGGAATTAAGATCCCGTATGCTGAGTGCAGTCAAAAATTAGAAAAAAAAAAAAAAAACAAACCCCAAAATAACAAAACTTAATTTCAGATGAATAGAAGCAAAAGCATTTATTTTCCAGACAAAATCAGTTCTGTTAAATTGGTATGCAATTAGCTAGGTCAACACAGCAGCAAGCAGGTTTTTGAGTAGCAAGTATGTTGTAGCGGAAATAGTTAGTCAGTGTCAAATCTCAACTCTTCCTCGTCCTGTGACTTGGGAAAGTGAATTTAGTTGTCCGAGCCTCAGTTTCCCCATCTTATTGGGCTAATGTGCAGATGGAAAGAGATCGTGAATGTAAAATGTCTACCATGGTGTTTCGTTTTTGAAAGTGTTAGTTGCTCAGTTGTGTCTGACTCTCTGAGACCCCGTGGACTGTGGCTCGCCTAGCTCCTCTGTTCATGGAGTTTTCCACGCAAGAATACTCGAGTGGGTTGCCATTCACTTCTCCAGGGAATCTTCCTGACCCAGGGACTGAACCCAGGTCTCCTGCATCGCAGGCAGGTTTCTTACCACCTGAGCCACCAGGGAAGACAGCGGTGCTTGAGACATGAGAAACTTGGGAAAACTGGGCTAGATGCCCATCCCGATTTCCATTCCCCCATTCACCAGGAAAAGGAGCGGCATCTCCATACTCGGTTTCTGGGGTTTTCCTGCCCAGCCTGTTCAGCATCTCCCACTCTCATAGGTAAGCGGTGAGTGACAGCAACTGACATCCCCCTGGTCCTCATCTTCACTTAGGACTCAGGCACATGTGGGCCCCAGGGATATCCCTTTGTGGGTTGCAGACTTTGTTATAGGTCAGAAGAATATGCTTCTTTTGACTCTCTAGTATTTCAGTGGGCTTTTAACACATCCTTCTGCATTGTCTTGCTCTCGTCTCTGGAGTCTTAGAAGTTTGTGTGACTCCAGACACAAGGTGTCACGAATGTCGACAGTAAACCTGGGACTCTGACTAACTGGTGATGCTAAGACATTGCTCTTAATCTTTTCACATCAATGACAATTCTTTAGAAATACCTAGCTGAATGTAAATGTCCAATAACTTGATCTTGAATAGAGCACAGATGGATTCAATAAATTGGCAACTCAGGGGAGCATTCATCTTTGACTAGATTTATAATTATGTGACTCTCTGAATCTGAGGAAAGTCATTTCTGAATGACCAAGTGTGAGAATGAGGGGAGAAATGATAGAGAAGGAGGAGAGCTGATAGAATCTGAAAGAAAATGCCCAAGAAACAAAGGGGCTTTGGACCCTTCAGGGGAGGAAGAGAGCTGAGAACCCTTGACTGGGAGGAGTCTTGTTACCAAGGGGTGTGCTTTCCAGTTTACAGCTACATGCTTCAGTTTTGGCAAACGCTGAAAGAAATCTCAGGCCCTTGGCCCATAGTCTCTTCGAAAACACAGTCAGAAGAATTACCTGTCAGGTGCGCCCTTGGCTTCTCCCTATCAGCTCCAGGAGGTGCGTCTGTGAGGAAAGGAGAGAGATGTTTGTATGAGTGGGAGGGTGACTGGAGTTGAATTTGGGGAGTTGCATGGTGCCTGCAACCGGAGAGAAACAGTCTTCTCCTCCCGTTTGGCTCAGGGTGGTTTTTTTTCCCCCCAGGGGCAGGGCAGCCTCAGAAGAAATAATCTTGAACACAAATGAACCTTGACTCCATGACTTTGGCCAAGTTATCCAGTCTGAAACTCTGTTTTCTCATATCTAAGGTGGGCACATCAATTCCTGCCATGGATGATGAGTGCTCAAAATGATTCCTGGCACATGGCTGGTGTTCAGCAAAGCTCATCTTGCCTTTACTTTGCTTCTGTCAGTTCTGTGGGAGCTGATTGGCCTTCCTCATTGTCCCTTCAACTGTATCCTCTGAGCCATCTGAACGTTCTAACAAAACTAGTTGGGGACTGCTCTGTAGCTGTGTGGCCTTGGCAAATCCCCTTGCCTCTCTGGACCTCTGTTTCCCTGTCAGTTCTCAGAGATGATTATATTGGATAAGTGTGTTCTAACTGTAGTAATAAAGATGATGTTATTGATGATAAAAGGAAAGATTATTGTATACATTTGATGTGCTAGGTATTGCAAAAATACCTTTCCAGGAATTAACTGAATCCACACTAACTTTGGGAGGTTGGTAGTATTATCACCATTTTTATAGGTGAGTAAACTGAGGCTGAGGATGGTGAAATTATTTGTTTAAAGACTGTCAACTCCACAGGTCATACACTTGACCACGGCACCATTCTGCCTTCCTAGTGACTGAGGAGGAGCCTCGCTTTTCCTCTGAGTCTGCATCTGAACTTCCCACGTATCAGTACCACAAGAAACCCACAAGAAAAGGCATAAAATATGAACACACTTACAAGCTCGCTGATGTGAAGGTCCAGTCTCCTGCTCTTTTGGAGTCTGTTGGAAAGAAAGACATGATTCAGGTCATCTGTGGTCCTTTTGACCCACTGCCCATGTCATGAGCACAGTGAAGATGCTGCTGCTACCCAGCCTTGGTGCGCAGAGATAAGGGGAATGGGCATGAGAACATTGGGTTGATGGAAGTCTTGCACCCAAGCTCCCTCCCTCCACTGCACCCAGTGACCTTTCTCTCTCTGAGGCTTGTCTCTGAAGCTCAGCTTTAAAATTTTGTCCTGAGAGCGTTTCCTGCTCCATACTGGGGCACTCTGACATCTTATCATTGCTTCTGTTATTTGAACAAATAGCCACACTTGCTTTATTTTCTTTTCTTCAGCACAATTTAAAAATTGGAACTAATGCCAAAAATGAGACTGAAAAAGAAGTGACTCTACTCTCTTTCTCATCATCACCCTCCACAATTCTGCCTTATTGCTTTGTAATATATGAAGACTTTTTCATTCTTGCAACCCTAGTTTGTGAGCCATTTCAGATACCAAAGGGTAGTTGAAGAGTAACTGCTTTGGGGGGTAGACAGACTGGATTTGAATCCTGGTTTCACCATTTATTAACAGTATAATCTTGAGCAGGATACTTCTACTCCGAGCTTTGGCATTTTCATTTGAAAAATGGGAATAATAACATCCCCAACAACAGGTAACTCCTGGGTCAGAGATGAAGAAAATGTATGAGTCAGCGCAGAGAAGGCCTAGGAAATGAAGAACCACCACTCATAAGACCTGCATACGAACTCAGGAGCAAAACTACGTTCTTAGTTTAGGAATAAGATCACTGTCTTACATTATCCAGTGTTCTCTTCTCTGCTACAATTTTGACTCAACTCAGAGTCTTCTGATTTGGTTCTTGTAACTGCATAGTCCACGTGACCACTGATCATAGCGTCACCATGAACACTTGATTGATTCTGCATTTTAAAATTTGTGTGTGTATGTGTGTGTGTGCTTGTGAATGAGAAACTGTGTGAGTAAGAAGACAATTTGCTCAGCGGGAGAGGGTGTAAGTCAATGTGTTTTTGCATCTGTGTGTCTGCACATGTTGTATGTACGGATTCTCTGCACATGCGTATGTGCTCTTATGGATGTAACTGTGTTGTCGGTGGGTCTAGGTCTGAGCAGTTCTGTGATAACAGTGATTTTGTTAGAGACCAGACCACCAGTCTTGTGTTACTCCCAAGACACGTTGCCTAACTTCTACTAGAACCGCCCCCGCCCCGAATTGTCTAATGACTTTCTCCCTTTCCAGCACCCTTTCCTCCACTTCCTACTTCTGTTGATGGCACCGCTACTGCTTCTCTTCAGTTACCAAGCCTGAAATTTGCTTCTTTGTTCTTCCACGAACCCAAGTGTTATCTTATTTTGAAAATTTTGTCATTCATGCCTCCACTCCAGGTTTCAGCACACTGCTCTCCTGGATCCTTCCCACAGCCTTCTAACAGGTCTTCCTCCACCTGGTTCCTTCTTTTCTTGAACTCGTCTCTTAACCCGCCTTCAAAGGGGTTTTTCTAAAGCATCATTTTGAGACAAAACTCTGTTCCTAAGCCTTGAGTGCCCCCTATAAACTTTCAGACACAGCGCTAAATAGTTAGGTTGGAATTAAAGTCCCAGCTGCCGTCCCAGTCTTGTTATCCTCTTGTTTCTCTCTCTCCATGTTCTCTTTGGCTTACAGGGCAGCTCAGCAGAGAAGACTCTGCCTGCAGTGCAGGAGACATGTGAGACCCAGGTTTGACCCCTGCGTCAGGAAGGTCCCCTGGAGGAGGGCATGGAAACCCCTCCACTGTTCTTGCCTGGAGATACTATGGACAGAGGAGCCTGGGGGGCTACAGTCCCTGGGGTGGCAGAGTCGACTGAAGTAATGGAGTGAGAGCAGCAGCAAATTCTCTCTACTCTCGTCATGAGAGGCAATGCAGTGAATGATTCCAGAGCCCTGGAGAAGGCAGGAAATGCAGCCTTAGTTACTCACTGAGTGCTGGCACTGTGCTGTGCTAAGCTGTTTATATGTGTTACCTCCTTCCTGCTGGCGCCGAGTCTGAAGTGGGTGCTGTTTATATCCTCGTATTGAAAATTAGGCCTAGGGACACCGAGAAAGTTGCCCAGTGTCTTATATCTGGAAAGTGGAGGAGCAGGGCTTTAGCCGAGGCCAGCTGACTGCAGAATCCTAAGTCCTCAGCCATTATTCCTTCTAACTTCTGGGCAAGTTCCTCATCTGCTGAGGTGGATGGATAAGTGCTAGAGGTTCCATGCACTGTGGCAGTGGGGGAAACACAGAGTCCAGAAAATAGGAACTTGGCCCAGAAGTGGGGGAATCAGGGGGAATTACCCTTGACCTGAGTCTTACAGGTATTAGCCGGGTAATAAAGATAATGACCATTTTAGACAAGGCCAGAAGCTTGTGCAAGAGTGAAGAGGCTCAACGGAGCATGGGAGCAGTTGGGAAACTGGGGTTTCTGCTGCCAGATGAACACATTATATGCTTTTAGCATAGCGTCATGAGCACAATCATCTTTGAACACTTAAACCCAATCAACATGATGACTTATCCAGCATGAATAACTTTGATGAGCTTGGGAGCTAGGGAAGCAGCCTAGAAATGAGCTTACTCTGTAGCCTGCTTCCTTACTTGTTATTGACAGAGCTGATAAAGGACTTGATCCTTTGGCAAGGTAGAAAACCGAAGGTGAGTTTTCAGAGAGAACTGGGTAGCCTGGTTGCATCCCCTGGTGTAGGAAATGGTACCTTCCCTGGTTGGCCTCCTACTTCATTTAGTTCTCCGCTGAGAGATCTTTGTGAACATCCTGCTTATTTTTGTCTAAGCAGACTCTCAGCTAAGAGTCTGGAGCATTTCTTTAGGCTCAGAGTCCGATTGTCTTCAGCACAAATTTGGGAGTGAACATATTTTCCTATTTGCTCTGTTGGATTTCTGTATCTTGAGCACACATTTTATTTTCATATATGGATGGATGTGCGTGGGCTTGAAGTGGCCCACCCAGCACACTGCCAAACATCTGGAGGCTGTGACAGTGCCTGCCAGTTGGCAGGTTTGAAGAACAAAGCATTCTAAGAATCTCCAAGAAGAACATCAGCTGGGACTCTCTTTCCAAGAACAGCATCTAAGGCCTTCCATTGCTAGTCCTCTCTCTTTCTTTTTTATCTGGTTTTGTCTCTGGCTGTACTGAGTCTCTGGTGCTGCACGCAGGCTTTCTCCAGCTGTGGCGGGCGGGGCTTCTCACTGCGGGGCTGCTCTTGCTGAGGAGCACCGGCTCTAGGGCACACGGCTCAGTCCTTGCAGCTCACGGGCTCTAGAGCGCATGCTCAGTGGTTGTGGCCCATGGACTTAGCTGCTTCCGTGACATGTGGAGTCTTCCTGCATCAGGGATTGAACCCGTGACCCTGGTATTGGCAGGAGGATTCTTACGCACAGTAACGCCAGGAAAGTCCACTTTTTCTAACAATTGCTGTCTCATGGAAGGAAGATGACTATGATGAGAAGCAGGAATGAATAAACAGGAGATTTGAGAGGATGAAGCAGAACATTTTCAAGGCAAGGTTTATGCACGTGTCCTGGCTCAATGCCTGCTGCTCTCAAGGTGGTTGCTTAGGAAAAAATGTCAGTAAGTGGCTAACTGTCTTCCAACCCTGACTTCTCTTTATCACTTCTGGTTATTCTGGGGTACCAAGGAGATGATGACTCTGGAGAAATGCTGGTTACTGCAACATTAGCTCACATATCAGAATAGATGCAGAATCCAAGAGCACCCCTGAGAAATATGATTTATCTATTTCCCATTAAATGCCTTCTCAAATCACTGGCTGAGAACAAGGACCCAAGTTTTATTTCCCCTTAAGAGCATTTATCACTCCCTCAAGTGCTGTTGCTTATTTGTGGGTTTATTGCTTTTCTCTCTCTAGCAAGACTTGGGCTGGTTTGCTCACCCCCACATTCCTAGCACCTCAGACAGTGCCTGGCTCTCCCACTGGATTACCCAACTGATGCTCAGGCACCGGAATGACAGGCAGAAGAGAGAGCAGAAGATGGAGTAAGATTCAGTTTCAGTGACTTTAGCCAGAATTTTACAACTTAGGAATCCAAAACTTTGCACGTATTCTAAAACTTCTTAGAATACGTGCAGAGTTTTGAGATTTTGTTTAAATCTGAAAAAAATTGATTAGGCAGAAGTGGATAGCCATAATCGTTTAATACTGAGGCCTCCAAAGGTTGTTTTCATCAGGCTCTGCTTGGAGCATAGTCACAGCTCTAGAAATATTCCTTGAAAGTTGTGGAAGCTGGCCAGGATCAGAATCAGAAAATGCAAATGTGTCTGCCCACTAGCATATACGTTCATCAGGAGAGTAGGACACTTGCTACTTTGGTATTTATTAGCCCAGGCAAAGCAAACTCATGCTTTTTCCCCTTTAGTTCTTAACGAAGTTAGTTAATAAAGGTAAAAGTAAAAGTGTTAGTTGCTCAGTCACTTTCGATTCTCTGGGAACCCATGGACCATAGCCTGCCAGTCTGTCCATGGAATTTTCTGGGAAAGAATACTAGAGTGGGTTGCCATTTCCTCTTCCAGGGGATCTTACCAACCAGGGGATCTTCCCAACCCAGGGATTGATCCTGGGTCTCCTGCATTGCACGAAGATACCTTACCATCTGAGTCACCAGGGAAGATCTTTCTTATAGATCGGGGAATTTTCACTTGCATTTGATTTTTTTTTTCTTCTTGCTTTTTTTTTTTTTGAGGGGGTGGTGCATATACATTCCATAGCGTGTGCATGCTCAGTCATGATTGATTCTTTGCTATCCCGCGGACCGTAGCCTGCCAGGCTCCTCTTTCCATGGGCTTTTCCAGGCAAGAATACTGGAGTGGGTTGCCATGCCCTCCTTCAGGGGATCTTCCCAGCCCATGGATTGAACCAGCCTCTCCTGTGTCTTACCTGCATTGGCAGGCAGATTGTTTACCACTGCACCGCCTGGGAAACTGA